AAGGCCAGGCATGGTAGTTCACACCTATAATCCCAGAACTTTGGGAGACTGAGGTGGGCAGATCACCTGAGCTTACAAGTTTGAGACCAGCCTGAGCCAGACCGAGACCCTGTTTCTAAAAATAGCTGGGTATTGTGGAGGGCACCTGTAGTCCCAGCTACTCAGGAGGCCGAGGCAAGAGAATCACTTGTGCCCAAGAGTTAGATAGAGGTTGCTGTGAGCTATGATGCTAGGCCACTCTACCCAGGGCAACAAAGTGAGACTCTGTTTCAAAACAAAAAAACCCCAAAACCCACTTGCAGAATCTAGAGGACTTCTCACCTGCCTTGGTGCTGCCTACTCCTCTCTGAAACTACTGAAATCAGTAGCAAAGCCAGAAGAGTGCAGTTCTTCAACATTTTAGCTAGTGACCTCGGAATAAATTCACTGTTCAACTGGTGAGTTACATTGTGGCCTGCTTCTTGTGGTGTTACAACTTATATTATTGATACTGGTTTAGTTCAATAAATATTTGATACTCATGTCAACTGTGTAATTTTAATTTACATCATCTAAAACATCCAATGGACCTTTCCTCTAATTCTATGACTATTCATAATTCAAGACGGAGAACATTTTGCAATGGAAAGCATCATGATCGGGGAGCCAGAGGAATTTTGTTTAAATGGGTTTTGCCATTAAGTAGTTGTGTATCTCTGGGCAAGTCATTTATTTACTTCTTAGTCTTTAGATTTCTGGTAAAATAAAAGGGTAGGGGGTTGGTTTATTTGATCTCTAAGATTTCTAGTACTTTAAAAAATAGTGAAAAGCAGCATTTCTACTTTCATCCTGAGAAGAATCATATAGTTGTTACTGAAGAGGTTAAGAGGTGGGGCCACGGCCGGAAACTGCAACAAAAAAAAAAAGAAAGAAATAATGACGCATGTGTTTATACTACATCACCTTTCAAACATATAAAGGTGGAAATGGTGCTCTCCAGTATTAGGATTAATACTAACCAAATGTTAAGATTGCTGAATACACCTCTAGAAAAAATTTCTATTCTAAGGAAAGGTAGTCTGGTTGTTTCAGGCACTTACATCCTGTTGGTCATGTACCTGGGATAGACCCTTCAAGTGTTGCTGCCACATTCCTCCTTATCTCCAAGCCTCCCCACAGCTTAGCCAGCAGACAGGGCCAAGAGCAGTACTTCTCCCCTCCTCTGGGCATACCCTGAGCCTCTCTGCTGTTGCTCCCTGCTGTGCCCATAGCTCCCTCCCCCCTTCATTCAGAACTTGGCTCTGGCACCATCTCCTCCATGAAGCTGACCCTCTTCAACTTCCACAGTGCGTTATCTTCTCCTATAGTCACTCCTACCTCGTACTGTGTTCATGATAAACATGCTGCATCTCCCTTTCCACACTGTAAGCTCCCTAGCATCATGATCCTTTATCTTCATCAAGTCTAAAATCAAGGTTAAAGGTTCAGCCAGGTGCCCTTTGTAAGATGTAACCCTCACAAATCTCTGCCCTGGAGATTGGTATTACAATTCCTTTCCCTTGGCTCGGCGCCTGTGGCTCAAGCGGCTAAGGCGCCAGCCACATACACCTAAGGTGGCAGGTTCGAATCCCCAGCCCAGGCCCACCAAACAACAATGATGGCTGCAACCAAAAAATGGCCAGGCGCTGTGGCGGGCGCCTGTAGTCCCAGCTACTTGGGAGGCTGAGGCAAGAGACTCGCTTGAGCCCAGGAGTTGGAGGTTGCTGTGAGCGTGATGCCATGGCACTCTGCCCAGGGGGATAGCTTGAGGCTCCGTCTCAAAAAAAAAAAAAACAAAAAAACAAAAAAAACAATTCCTTTCCCTTGCTTCCTTTCTGAAGAGTCTTCTTATTTTTGTTTTTACGAAGCTGGGATGATGTGATTTCTCTGCAAGTAACTTTAGGACTTGAATCCACCTTACTAAGTTGTATATTCAGTTGAATTTTTGAGTGAGAAGAGGAGATGAGGAAAGGTTTTCTTACCACAGGCCTGGTTCCCTTTCAGTATGATTAGATCACACGTTTACTTTTGAGAGAAAAAGAGGAGACAGCGCTTTGTCTAATTGAAACTGGAACACGCCTTGAGTTGCATATTGGTCTTCAGGCCCCGTTATGTCCTTTCCCTTGAAAGATGTCGTAAGCAGACATGACACGGCTCTCTGATCGTGATGCTTTCCATTACAAACATTCTGAGCCAAACACATTTGTTTTTTCTCCTTTTCATTTCAGTTAAGGCTATTTTGAGATTTGGATGGTGCCACTATTTAGTTTAAATGTGAAAGCAGATCTATGTGCTTTTTGGTGCAGCCGTTCTTTTTTCTTTTTGGCCCCGGGATATCTCAGCTTTGTGCAGTGAGAGCCCAATTGGTGGCTGCTAGACTGTCACTTGAGGGGTGGTCGCAGTAGCAGCACCAGATGCCTGGGGGACTGTTCCCACAAGCCCTTTGGGGAGAAGCTGCTCTTTCCCAAGTAGGGCCCATTTGCCTAGAAGGCAGCAAGGGAAATCATCAGTGGCAGCAGATTATAACAAACAGGAAAAAGAGACAGGGTTGCCAAATGCTTATGTACATCTCTCCCATTCACAGATGAAAATGTTTCCCAGGTGGTATTCGTACCTACAGGGAAAGTTCTAGGGCACCCTGAAGTGTCATGCTACTTATGTAGAAATTCCACACACATCTAGAGTCTGCCATAAAGAAATTTGTCATGCAAAGTGTGAGAATGTATGGCTGATACCAGGAGAAAAGGGCATAGCAAAGTAATTCACTCATACTCTTCAAAGGTCTTGGATTTTCATAGGGTGCCTTTCTCCAAATCTACCGCTAAAGTCTAGGGAAACAAAAAGTCTCCCAGTCTCCTCAATATTCAGTTTTACTTAATTAAGTCAGGATTAACAGCATTATCTAAAAATCTTTTAGGGAATAGCTTCTTAGGTGAAGGAGATAGTGGTTTTAATTGATGGTGCTTATTTGTAGCAATAAAAATTTTTATTTCATGTTTTTCATGAGTCTCGGTGGGTTTAGAGGTGAGGTATTTTTTGTAAGTTATTTTTATGATCAGTAAATACATTAAAATACTGATTTTCAAGAAGTTGCCTGGCCAGGGCTTTATCTGGGGGAGGGGAAAAGGCAATCAGACTTCACCCTTCTTCTCTTTTAATTCAAAATTTACACTAAAGGTTTGTTTTGAGAGGGAAATGGAGCATGCTAAGCTAATGACAGGTTCCCCATCTCTAATTTTTCTCACGTCAGCCCACCGCGCTCCTATAAGCTCCGTGGTGCGCTGGGATGTAGGCAATGCTTCACCAATTAAGGGAAGTCCCAGACCACTCAAAAAAACGAAAACAAATAAACAGTCAAAATTCGGGGAAGGGTAAGATGAAGTCAGATTAAATGTGTTAGCAAACAGACTATTTTCAAAAGTACTGTTTCTACAACTACAAACAACCGGGTGGGGGGGCTGGGGGGAATCTTGAATTGTCATCGATGTTTCCATCCAGGGGGATCCGCCTCAGGGAGGACGGGAATTCAGGGACCCGTTTCTGTTCTCTGGGAAAGGCAATACGTGGCCCACAGTGAGCTTCAAGGACAACTGATCATCAGATCCCAGCCCTTTCCAAGCCCCGCTCTGTCATTCTCAGCCTTTATATTATAATTCTGTTAGAATTCTCTCTGGATCGCTGTCCTTTTGAGAAAGTCACTGCTGGTGGGCAGAGCGAGGACTCAGCCAGGGGCATCACTGGAGCGGACTCCCGGATATCCCCAGGTGTAGAGGCCAGAGGGTGCAGTGAGGGGCGGCAGAACTTCAAGCCGTCCAGGCCGCCACCGCCGCCGCAGCCTGAGATTAGCTAGTGGGAGTGGGGATGAGGCTGGGTCCCTCCGGCGTGCCTCCCGGGGCTGGGTCTTTCGCGGGTGAATGAATGATTAGTCAAATAGCACCTCTGCGTCCCAGTCCAACCCAGGGTGGGAGGGAGGAGTCTCGGAGCAACTGCTCCTTTTTTATGGGTGAGAGGCGTTTGCCTCTGTGCGTTTATCGACCTCGTAAGCCCTTCTGTCTTCCGTCCTTCCTACTGTCGGGACGCGCAGACAAATAACCACAAAGCACTGATCTCTAAGGCCACTTGCCCCTCCATCCTCTGAGCCTCGGGAGTCCGTTGTCGCGCCAGCCCCCTCCCGCCAGAGGGAAGCAAAGTAGGGCGTGAAAAGTTGCGGGGACCCTGCGGGGACCCTGCTGCGCCGGTTTGTTGCTCTTTCCTAAAGCTGGGGCACCCCGGAGCGTGTCCGGGGTGGCGAGGCGCCCCCGAACCCCTCGTGCTGCTTCCTCCCAGGGTTGGGACACCGGGCGCGAGCTGGTGCCGCGGCATGCCCCCTGGGGGGAGGGCTCCCCGGGAAAGGGAGGCGGCGCGGCGCTCCCGGCGGCGGAGACGCGCCTGCCTTCCCGGCTCTGCTCCGCGCCCCAGGGCCGGTGGCCTCCCTTGAGGGGCTGGGGAGCAGGCTGCAGGCTGGGCCGAGACGCGTTCCCGGCGCAGCGATCGCGCAGTGCGGCCCGCGCCCGGGCGCCCCCAGCGGGTTCCGAGACGCGCCCGGTGCGCGGGTGTCTCCGACGCCGGAGCGAGCGCGCGCCGGCCGGGCAGACAGCCGGCGGGGCCGGCAGGAGGTGGCGAGTGAGCGGTGGACTACACTGCAGCGGCGGCAGCGCCGGGAGCGGTAGCAGCGGCCGGGGCGGTGGCAGCCCAGCGGCAGGGCGCAGTCGGCAGCGCCGCCGCTCCTCGGTCCATCTCTGACTGCTCTGACACCCCCTCCTCCCGGACCCCTCTCCCGCGTGGAGAGGCTATTAAGCTTCAGCAAGCAACTCCCTTTCAAAAAAAGCCTCTTTGGAGGAGCCAGGGCACCGGACCCTCCCCCCTGGGCGGCCCCCACCCCTCGCCTCTCCCGGCCGCCCTCCCTCGCAACCCCTTCCCCGCCCCCCTCCCCGCAGCTCCCGGGCGCCCGCCTCCCTCCTTGGCGGACTGTCTCCCCACAAGCCGGCTGAGAGCCTTTTTTGACTGCGAGCGGCGGCAGCGGGGCAGAGGCAGCGGCACGGGACCTGCAGTCGCCCGGGATTCCCTCCAGGTGACGATGCTCTGGTTCTCCGGCGTCAGGGCTCTGGCTGAGCGTCCTTGCCGGCGCTCGCCCGGGATTACCTGCTGCGTCTTGCTGCTGCTCAATTGCTCGGGGGTCCCTATGTCTCTGGCTTCCTCCTTCTTGACAGGTAGGGGAGGAGGCGGAGGGATTGGCCCTCGGGCCGCTGGTGCGGTACTTGGGCGCCGAGTCGAAGGCTCGCCCGGGGCACAGGAGGGTGGGGAGCGCGCACCTAGGCGCCGGCCCCTCACTGGTGGATGGGGATGGGGATGAGGCCAAGCCCGGAGGTTAAGGGCTGAGAAGGCTGTGAATAGGTGAAGAGGCTGAGAGCTGAGAGGCTGTTGCATTTAATGCAGTGATAATGGACACCCTTCTATTGAATTTGAGAAATACCTGTATTTATTTTCAATGTTTTCCTCAATGCTTATTTTAATATTTCTCACCTTATACGATTAAGGAAGAATTTTATGCAGTTTTCCTCACCTTCTCCTTTCTCCTCTATATGTAGGGCTCCAACTTATCTATCTACTGTGCTAGGAGTGCTTTGTAAACCACTGGCTTTTCAGACCTTGCGAATTTAGAAACTATCAAATTTAGAAAGCAAACTTATAGCAGAATATACTTACATATTTTCGGGCAGGTGAAGACCTCAGTTGCTATTCTGAAGAACATACTTTACTGACACCTGGTGCAGAAAAGAAAATATCGAGGCAATTTCTGAGAGAAGAGAAAAGAGGATTGCCTTTCCAAGAGTGATTATGACCCAAGACAATATTAGGCAGATCCATATAAAGAATGTTCGTTGACATGATCGATCTTGACTTTCGTTCAAATATAAAATCTTCCTTATTGGCCTTTCTAATTGTTTTGCATATGAGGGTGTGTGTTTAGTTGAAATGCCTTCATAAAGTCTTGAATACATTCTTGAATGCTTTAGTATCCTGATGGCTAGCAGATTGAGGGCTGCGCATTTGGCATGCTTTGTTTTTTATTTTTTTTGGGGGGGGTTATTTTTCATTACAGATTTATTTGGCAATGTCTAGTAAATTTTGTAAACTTGCATCAAGTTTATGAATAAAGAACCATTTGAAGATCAAAAAAATAAAAATAAAAGAAATGCCTTCATAAAGGAGTGTTATTAAAAACCCAGTGAGAGTCTTAGAATTGTGCTTAAGCCAACTGAGAATAGAAAATCTATCTCTAAATACAATTGTTTCTTTAAACCTGTTTAATAAAACTATTTAAAATGGATTTTTTTCAAGGGGAATTTTTTTTGTTTAGTTTGATAATGTAAAACTCATTAAGACTTTCTGAAATTGGGGTAGGTGTTTCCAAAAGGATTAGTGTAAAAATTTAAAATGTTACTATAAAGCTACTAAGTTAAGTTTAAACTGAAAATATTTCCCCCCTGGAATTTCAGGTTCTGTTGCAAAATGTGAAAATGAAGGTGAAGTCCTCCAGATTCCGTTTATCACGGACAACCCTTGCATAATGTGTGTCTGCTCGGTAAGTGAGGAGACCAGGTAATAGGAACTCAATTACTTCCTCTGACAAGATGAATCCATTAAGTTGTGATAATGTAACCAGATCCTCACAATTCTCTTTAGTCATTACAAAATTGCACATAACTGCATACAGTTTGTGAATGGAATCTAGTTGAATTTCTGAGTTCTATGAACTTCCGCAATTTCCATTTCATCCAACTGGAAATTCTTGGCTTTGACATCATCCTTATAGAAGTAAACTTAAGAAGGGCTTTGAGTGATGTTATCTCAGGGAAAATTACAGAATTATACTTTGTAATGTCTGTTTCCAGTAATGGCTACTGCTACTAAGTCATAGGTACCACCAAATTTTCTGCCTTGGTTCTATGGTTTGAACTCAGCAGGAAAATGATAAAATGACATGTAGGTATAAAAGTCAGGGGTAAGGTATGTGATGAAGGAAAGAGAGGTGATAGCCCCCAAAAGACCCAATGAGGGCAAGATATGATTTTGCATTTCTTTGCCTGTTATATCCTAAGGTTCCAAATACCGTCTTTATTTCTGATTTGGAGGCATTAGAAAGGACGATTCCATCCTTAAAAGACAGTGATGCTTAGCTGTCAGCTGCTGAGTTAACACTGGCCGTGGCTAGATTAAAAAAGATAATAATTTGTTTCGATTTATTTTAGTTTAATAGTGAATGAGAAGTCTAATAAGTAACTACTTAGGGGAGATTAAGTAACATAAATACAAATTTTGAGATAAAATATAGACCCATAAAGAGCAACGTTTTTACTTGAAAATATTTTATATTTCAATCACTTTTGGAAAATCTTAACTAGAAACTACAGATTATAAAACCCTGTTGGAAATATATGAAGGCAGTCAAATGCAAAGCCCCAAGTGATAGATGACCACTTGTTACCATATCAGCATGCTGTAGGGAACTGGAGAAGAGAGCCATCTCTGTTTAGATGAAAGCCAAGCCATCTGACTTCACACTACCCAAACTGTTTCATGACAAGAGTTAAGGTCAATGTTTCTCAGTGATAATGGGTGAAGGTAAATGCCTGTATTACATGGTTTTCAGGTTCCTGAGACTAAGATTAACGGGAACAAGTAAAAATGCACTGCGATTAATATTGTGCTAATTAAAAAAAAAAAAGAGATAAGAAAGAGGGTCTTTAGATTTTGTGTTTATGGGTTGTCATATTAATTAATGATTTTTTACTAAAGAATTTGTTGAAAAGGAGCTTCGAGTTTAAATTTTGACTCAGTTGTAGATTTACAAATCCAGTGAATATATGTATAATTTTCCTTTTTAAAAAAATGTTTCTTGTCTGTATACTGTGAGCGAGTTATTGTATCTTAATCTCTTATGATTTCAGAGGAAATTACCCTGACCAAGTAATATTTAAACATGCTGAGAGCTCTGCATGCAAAAATATTGTTTTTCTCTTCGGCAATATTCCCATTAATAAAGTTTGCATATACAGTTTGGATTTTACAAACTGTTCCCAAATAGCATTATGCACAATTCTCCACAAAACATTCCTCCTTTTTATTACGCCTGCTCCAGTGGAAAATAGTGACTTTCTCTGGAAGTGGGAGAATTAGTGATAAGAAGATAGATGTTAGGATCCTGCAGTTTTGAAGGTGAAGAGTCAGTCTGAAAAAATGAATCACTGGAATTTGAATGGAAATGATATTTATTCCAGAAAAGTATCGATTAAGTTCAGAAGTGTAGTAAGTTTATACATGTGTTTGACATTTAAATAACATTGGATGTGGAGATATCTGCCCTGGGTGAGTGCTGGCAGGAACCTTTCTAACTGGACGGTGTAACGTCAGGACTCTGGCTTGTGGACTTACCCTCAGACTCAGCCCTTAGAAGCTTCTTCATTAGCTGAAAGGCACAGTGATATGTTATCATGATCTTCATAGTGTTTTAGGATTATGGGGCCCAAGCTGTCACAGTCATTATCACTTCCCAAACATTTGTAATGACTTAGTAAAAGTGAGTTAAGAATAGATGAGTGCCCACCTCTCTCTTTGCATACACCCTTGTACATTTCTGTGGGTCCACTGCAGCTGGTGCATTTCAAAGTACCCCAGACTGCCAGGAAGATGCTTGGTATTTTTTTTTTTCTGAGATAGAGTCTCACTATGTCGCCCTTGGCAGAGTGCCGTGGCATCACAGCTTGCAGCAAGCTCACACTCTTGGGCTTAAGCAATTCTCTTGCCTCAGCCTCCCAAGTAGCTGGGACTACAGGCACCCGCCACAATGCCCAGCTATTTTCTTAGTGCAGTTGTCGTCGTTTTAGCTGGACTGGGCCCGGTTCAAACCTGCCATCCTCGGTGTATGTGGCTGGCACCGTAACCACTGTGCTATGAGCGCCAAGCCAGGATGCTTGGTGTTTTTATTCTTAGGCTGGAAGGGAGACACATTCAACAGATTGATACTAATATTTAGCAATAGTCAACATTTATGAAATACTTTTTCTTGCTGGACCCTTATCTAAACCTGCATTATTTCATTTAATCCTCACGAAATCCTCTGAGGGCCTGTATCTTTATTTTACAGATGAGGAGACTGAGGCTCCTGGGCTGAAGTAGCTTGTGAAGGTTCCATTGGAGTAAAGTTGAAATTCCCTCTCAGTGTTGCCTGCCTCTAGACCACATGCCTGTAGCCATGAGAAATAGGCTCTTGATTTTAGTCGAAGAAGGGAGGAAGCAAGAAGAAAACAGGAAGACTGCCCAAATTATTTCACCTTTTGGCGTTTCTGGAGTTATTTTGTTTTTTTCTTTCGAGTCTTTCAGGAGTTCAGTTAGTTAACATTTGTTAATCACATTATGTGAAAGGAAAATGTGGTTATGAGCTGGGTTGACCTGCAGGGAGCGTTGGTTGTGAGCTGGGTTTATATATGTACATTAGGAGGGTATGTAATAGTCTCAACTGTACTCTGGATAAAGAGGATAGTCATATTTAGTTTGTGTTGGTCCAGCCTTTTGGCAGAAAGGTACCTGAGGCTGAGCATAAGCTCATATCTTATTTCATAACATATACTAAAAAAAAGAAAGCTAACCTCAGTGTATGCTTAAAAAAGATGTAAAATGTTACAGTTGGGAGGAAATAGGTGGCACAAAGTCGTGTATGTAATTACAGAGTAAACGCTTGAAAAATCCCACAAAATCAACTTGGCCTCATTTAAACTTTTAAGCTGAGAAATGTTTTAAAGGTGGAGCGAACTCATCTCTGTGGAGGTTTTGAGGATAATGGTGGGCGCAGTGGCCGCGGAAGCAGAACGGAATAATTTTATTCTCATTTATCATCGTCCGCACAGACCTGAGCATCTTGCCAGAACCAGTCCTGGTCCAAGGACAACCTGTTTGTTAGCTGGTGATGGAATCTCGTTTTAAAGCGTGTAGGCCAAAAAGCTTTGGTTCATCTATTTATTCTAGGGGGAAGGTGAGAAGTTGTCCCATTGCTCTAAAATCTGGAGAACTGGATAGGCGGTGAAGGTTAAAAGATGCACTGCTTTATTGTTTAGCGAGAGAGCCAAGCATGTCCCCCCACCTTACAATCTAGTCTTTTATGGGGCTGAGGAAGGGAGACCCAGTCTTACTGCCATATTGTGTGGTTATTTCCCCCTTCTTGTTGTGAATATTTTCCTCCATAATGCCTAGGAAAACACATTGGTGCCTGCCCCGAAATACAGCTGACAGGAGCCAGCTGCACCCAGATAAGTGAATCCAAACCAATTCCCTGGATCTAATGGATGTCCCCAAATCCACGTTAAGCGTCTGTGAGAAGTGGTACTTACACTTCTCAGCCTTTCCCACCTAACTGTAGAATAGGAGGAAATGGCAGAAGCCAGTGAGTTGGGCCCTGTACTGGAAATCTGAGAAAACGTTGGAGGTTGGGACTCAGAAAACCAGAAGTCAAAGCTTAGTTTGGCATACATTTTGTTCAGCAAAAAAATTATTGTGAGGTTGAAATTTCCTCTTTTAAATCCAGAGGTGCAATGTCGAAATGGACCCTTTGCTTATAAAAAGCAATGTGAAATTCAGTGTTACAAGAATCAGGGCTCCATCTATCTTGGAGCCAACCAAATGGTAAAAACAGGAGACCTTGTCTGCTGTCTTCTACTTTTTTAATCGCAAAAATCCTTTGTCGCTAAACTGGTAGCTCCTAACATCTTAGGTTCTCTTGGGTGCCTTATCTCCGTAAAATACTCATGTTTTTCATTGTTCAAATTAACTGTCTGGAGAATAGAAATCTATTATTTGAGCAAGTGTTAGGCACATGTTTGAGAATGAGGGAGATAAGATTGCATGAGGATTCAATTCGTGTGTGTATGTACAAGAGACGGGTCGGGGAGAGAGAGAAAGGAGAAGAGATTATAAAGTAGTCCAGATGTGTTCAGAGAGATACTGCACTTGGTATTTGAAAATATACATTGATTGCCACACTTTTTCAGAACTGGGCTGCTCCCTAAGGGAGCGATCCAATGTATTTATTCTTTTTATTTTTATGCTGTTTAGAAGGTGATTTGACCAGTTTTGCCTTTTGGTAACACAGTTTTTGAGTAAGTGACTAATTGATGAGATTGTGCTGGCAAATTCTCAAAGACCAGCTCTCAGACAGTTGTTCATATTCATGCTTTATTCAGGCTCAGAGAAGCAGAGCCAACGTCCTGAGGTCACACAGTTACTGAGAGAACTGGGATGGGGAGCCAGTTCTTCCTCTGCTAAACCGTTTTGCTTCTGCTGGTCATTGACTACTTAAAAACGTGTACAGATTCCTTCATGGGTTTCAATGAATAGTTTCAACGTCCACAGAGCTTACACAGGCTGTCTTTGGGGATAGTATGAGTGGTTTTGATCTTATAGCACAGACCAAGTCTGGACTTTGGAGAGCCCTTCAAAGGAAGACATGGCTTTTGCATGACATCATATCATTTTAGCGAAGAGCTTTGGCTCAGGCATCAGACAGGCCTGGGTTCAAATCTAAATGGTAGT